CCCAGAAGACCACTTGCTTACCTTGCTTTGCAGCAGGTGGGCTGTATTGTGAGCAGTTAGAGCAGTCGATCTCTTGCTCCACCAAACTGGAGTTCTCTGCAGCCCTCCTCCTGGAGCTGGGGTTGTGCCTCAGGACAGCTGCAAGGCTTTGGTGAGCTTCCTTCAGCAGGCCAACCTTCACCTGCCAATGTTTAACTGCTGTAAGGGAGGAGGCCGCCTTTAGGCTGGTGCCCTTCTCCCAACTCCTTCCCAGTGGGTTGGGTGAGAGGGGAACAGGGCCTCATTCTCTCTATAAGACTCCTGGCCCCAGGAAACAGGTAACAATAATAGGATTCCCTCTGCAAGCATTATTCCCTCCCAGGGCTGCTTCCGCTCTCTATCCCTATCCCCTTAGGTCTTTCTCTATAGATATCTGTCGAACCTTTCAAACTCTTCAAGGGCCGTGGCAGGCAGTTGGCTTCCCATCCTGTCACACCTTCTAGGAATCATTCTTTTATTCTGACTTAAACATGTACGTGGTGATGGTGGGGAAACAGACACTTCTGCCAAGGACAACACCACAGTCCATTGAAAAAACAGCAACAACAGAGCATAGACTGATCTGACAGCACAGCCATCAAAACTGCCTGTCATCAGCAATATCAACAGGGTCTCCCTATCTCAGCTCATGCCAAAGCATTCAGCCCCTCAGAGATTCAGTCTCCCTTCCCCTGCCAAGCCCTGGAAAGAGAAACCATTCCTCAATATCATATTCAGGAGCCTTTGCTTTGCCATTTTTTCAATTACATCTCTCTGTGTGCAAAGTAAGCAGGACGTGACCTATAGCCCATGGCCAAGCCAGTCTGGTTTTCCAGAAAGCTCACAAGATTCACTGTCAAATTTCCCAGTAACGACAGTTTGCTCCGATAGAGAACAAAAATATGGTTGCCACAAGATTTCATAGTAAATCTCATGAGGTTTTGTGTGATTGCTAAATAATTACTTCAGGTTGCTATAAAAGATTAACAACAAAACATAGGCTGATTGACAAGTTTTTTAAACCCTGATGAAGAACTCCCTTCTGGATTGCTCGTCTAGAATGTTTACATTTTCACAGTCAGCCTTAAGCAGTCGATTTTCAAGTTGAGCCATGGATTCTGGCCAAAAACTTCAGGTTGACCCAAGAGTTGGAGCGGAATAGGATTGCTCCATCCATTAGCTACATTGAACACTGTCCTCATCATGGGAAAAGCTCCTGTTTGGAGCCACGGAGGAAAGAAGGGGTACTGAAACAAGTATTCTGTCCTATGTGTGTGATCAACCTGTTGCATCTTGTTATTAACTAAGATTGTAAACTCCTTGGTGCTTTTACTATGTGTTTGTATGCCTCCCTCGCTGGGGTTCTGTTTCATAGACATTTAAGGTCAGAAGGGGCCATTAGATTCTCTAGTATATTGTTTCTCAAACTTCATTTCATTGCAGTCCTCTTCTGACAACAAAGGGCAGGTCTACACTACAAGGACGGGTTGATCCAAGCTCCACAATTTGAGTTACTATAGTAACATAACTCAAATCGACATACTGTAGATCTGCTTATTGCATGATCCACACTGAGGGGAGGGAGGGGAGACAGAAAAAACGCTCCCATTGACTCTCCTTACTCACCTTGTTCTGCTGGAGTACCGGAGTCAACAGGAGAGTGATCAGAGGTCAATTTAGTAGGTCTTCACTAGACTCACTAAATCGACTGCTGGTGAATCAATCACTAAAGTATTGATCCACCCATTAGTGGAGACAAGCCTTATAATTACTACAGTACCCCAGGAGAGAGGGACCAAAACCTGAACAATCCTACAGTACCCCAGGAGAGAGGGACCAAAACCTGAGCAACCTGACAAACGCAAAGTTAGAGAAATGGTCAGAGGTAAACAGGATGAGGTTTAATAAAGAGAAATGCAAAGTGCTCCACTTAGGAAGGAACAATCAGTTTCACACATACAGAATGGGAAGCGACTGTCTAGGAAGGAGTACGGCAGAAAGGGATCTAGGGGTTATAGTGGACCACAAGCTAAATATGAGTCAACAGTGTGATGCTGCTGCAAAAAAAGCAAACATGATTCTGGGATGCATTAACAGGTGTGTTGTGAGCAAGACACGAGAAGTCATTCTTCCGCTCTATTCTGCGCTGGTTAGGCCTCAGTTGGAGTATTGTGTCCGGTTCTGGGCACCACATTTCAAGAAAGATGTGGAGAAATTGGAGAGGGTCCAGAGAAGAGCAACAAGAATGATTAAAGGTCTAGAGAACATGACCTATGAAGGAAGGCTGAAAGAATTGGTTTGTTTAGTTTGGAAAAGAGAAGATTGAGGGGGGACATGATAGCCGTTTTCAGGTATCTAAAAGGGTGCCACAAAGAGGAGGGAGAAAACTTGTTCATCTTGGCCTCTGAGGATAGAATAAAAAGCAATGGGCTTAAACTGCAGCAAGGGAGGTTTAGGTTGGACATTAGGAAAAACTTTCTAACTGTCAGGGTAGTTAAACACTGGAATAAATTGCCCAGGGAGGCTGTGAAATCTCCATCTCTGGAGATATTTAAGAGTAGATTAGATAAATGTCTATCAAGGATGGTCTAGAGAGTACTTGGTCCTTCCGTGATGGCAGGGGACTGGACTCAATGACCGCTTGAGGTCCCTTCCAGTCCCAGTATTCTTTGATTCTATGAAAAGGGGTTAACACATGCTATAAGAGACCATGTAAGGTGAAGGGAGTAGCTAACATTTCTACAGTTGTGTAATAAAGGAGGGGTAATAAGTCACAGATTGTTGTAATGAACCATAAAATCAGTGTCTTTGTTGAGCTTTATCATTTTTCTGTGCAAGTTTATTCAAGAGCATGGTGGGTGTTTGATTTCACCCATACTGTTATTATTGATGCCTTCTGGTGCACAGGATGTGGTGGAGCACAGGTTGTGATAAGCATTTGTAGGACCCATGAATCTTTAAAGGTTTGTTGGGGGCAGAGGTATTGCTCATCATGGAAGAAGGTACAGGTTTTGTACGTGTTGCCGTAGCAAGGTCTGGTGCCTTTTGAGATGGTCTGTCCTGGACTATGGGGCTCTTGCTTCCAATGGGCTGAAAAAGTCGGTGGGTTTTTTGAAAGCTGGGAGAGAGAATCATACAATCTTAATCTGAAGGCTTCAAGTGACAGTGAATTAAATGCAGGGCTAGGTGCCAATAGTTTGTTTTCTAGCTAGTTTAAGTGGACGCAGATCATCCATTAACTGTAACCTATTTGTCAAATAATGGGCTCTATTAGAAATGAATAACTATCTAATTACCTAATTTTCCACCTAGGAGGTTGTACGGTAATTCAATATGAAATGTCAAGTTGGGAACAAAGAATGAAAAGTTGTGTTGTTGTTTTTGTAAATCTTGAATATATTTCTCAGGGTTTCTGTTTAATAAGTAAGTCCATGCGTTGTAAAAAACTTTTCCACATCATTGCTTTTCAGATAGATTCACATTTCTATGAATAGATCTAATATCTCCCTATTGGCAGTGGTTTGTTTGTCCTCACATGGTTTAATACATGGGCAATTGCATTTGCAATGAAACTTGACTCTAGAGCTGGAAAATCTGAATAATAAAAGGAAGGCATATAGGCACATGTCCTCAAAAATATTTTAGGCACCTAATTCCCATTGGGCACCTAATTTCCATTTAGGCACCTAATTCCCATTGTCATATTTGCAGTAAGGGACAGCTCCCCAGCACAAGTCATCTGAAAGGTCTTTTTATTCCAGAAACTTCTAACCATAGCAAAGATCGTACTTCACACAGGCCCATGGTATATCAATGTATTAGTACACTCCAGCGCCATCCTGGATGTGTTATTTATTTTTGTTGTGGTTGGCCCAAACACGGCTTCCTCCAGGGGGTGTCCAACCCCGCCTCTATCCCAGACCCCATCCTCACCTACCCCCTTCTTCCGAGTCCTGGCCCCACCTTTTCCCACCCACGCTCTGCTTCGTTCTCCACCCCCGCCCCTTCTCTCAAGCACCCACCTCTGCCCTGCCTCTTCCTGCCCCAGCTTCACCTCTGTTCCACCTCTTTCCTACCAGGTCCCTCCCTCTCCTGAGCACACCCTGTCCCCACTTCTCCCTCCCTGTGGCTCCTGCTGATTGTGGTGCGTGGGAAGGAGGGGAAGAGGGTGATCAGTGGGGCTGTCAGTGGATGGGATGTGCTAGGGAGAGGAGGAAAGCTGGATGCTGGTGGGTACTAAGAACCCCTTAATTTTTTTCCATGCATATTCCAGCCCTGGAGCACCTGCTGTGTCACTGCCAATGGTGGTAGGGTCTAGAGGCTCGGCCCCATTGTCAGGCCCACCAATGGGGGAGGCAGTTGCCCCAGGACCTGGTGTTCCAAAGAGCCCCAGAGGTCCCGCTGCTGCCACTGCTACTGTGGCAGTGGCTGGAATCCTGGGCTCCTTTGATTGGCCACAGGAGCAACGGAGCGCTGCTCCATGCAGCTTTGAGAGCTGGAGAGGAGGGCCAGCGCCATGCTCCGTACTAAGGGCTGACTGCCCTTGGCTCCACCCAAAGCCCTGCCCCTTCTGGGATACAAAGCTGGAACCCACCCATTACCCTCGGGCCCATGATGGCTGTCAGCCCTGCTGTCCATTGTCTGAGGCTCTGTAAACACATGTAAGAAAGAGATGGTCTCATACAATCTAAACATGCGGCAGTATACAATTGGGTACCACAAAGATATGTGGAGAGGATTCACATTTGTTGCAGTGTGGATATATTGTAGGCCGGATTTTTCTCTTAGTTACAGCGGAATTTTAAATGTAAATTCTCTACAGTTTAAATGAAGAATAATGCTAATGAAGTCACTTACACATATATAACAGTGGAGTAAAAGCAGAAGCCCTCTTTCTTTCTCTCTCTTTCTCCCCCATATTTTATCCTTTCGATGAGGATTAAGACAAGCACACCTTAATATGCTCCTGATTTCTATTTCAGCACCTGACCTGAGTAATCTGGATAACCTTGTCAGTATGCTGAGCCTTGTTGAAGACCGAGTCAATAGCTCAAGAAGGAGGTATCGGAGGCATGCAACTGATGATGACTACAACATCGAAGTTCTTCTGGGAGTTGATGACTCGGTTGTACAGTTCCATGGAAAGGAACATGTACAGAAGTACCTTCTGACCCTGATGAATATCGTAAGTGACTTATTGTTACCTGCGCCGAGGATTGAAAATTGAATTTGAGTAAATTTACTTTGCTTTAGCCATTTGAATCGGATTTTTCTCAATATAGGAAATAACATAAAAATTCAGCCCACTTCTATGTAAGTATATAAAAAACGTGGCCAGAAATGGTACTGTCAGTGGGACCATTCACTTGCGTCAAGATAAGCTTGTGCTTTAGCGCATTACTGGATCAGAGCCCAGAGTCATGAAAGGGGCATTTGGAATTCTAGGAGTAGCACTGGATAGCCGTCATTATGCTTTGGGATGTATGTTCCCTTACCTTACATTCCCCATAGGCAAACTAGATGGTGGACTTGTTTTCACTACCGGCCTGATCGACAGGGCAGTGATCAATCCAGCAGGGGTCGATTTATCTAGTCTAGTATAGATGCAATAAATAGACCGTCGATCACTCTCCCGACAACTCCAGTACTCCACCTCAATGAGAAGCCCAAGAGGAGCTTCCCCTGCATCTCCTGTCAATACCTTGCAGCAAAGACACCGCAGTAAGTATATCTAAGTATGTTGGCTTCAGTTACACTATTCACATAGGTGAAGTTGTGTAACTTAGATCAACCTCCCCCGATAGCAGGGGTGGGCCACAGCATGGTGACAGTTCACCTGGGTTAGCCCCTGTTGGGCTGCCATTATAGTTACCTGCACGGCCACAGGTACCACCGATTGCAGCTCCAGTTGGCTGCAGATAGCCGCTCCTGGCCCATGGGAGTGGTGTGGACCTGGACACCGCTTCCCACAGCTCCCATTGGCCAGGAACAGCAATCCACGACCAATGGGAGCTGCAATCACCGGTACCTGTGGCCATACAGGTAAATATAGCAGTGGGGGCCCGCCAGGTGCAAATCCTGGCAAACCGAATCTGGCCTGTCAGCCAGTATTTGCCCACCCTACCCCATAGTGTAGACCTTCCCATTATGAGCTATGTTCTAATAATTGATTTGGTTTCAAACTTTTTAAAACGTATTTGATTAAGTCTTTTGATACTCTGACAATGACCCAAACCACCGGACCAGTGTTTCCTCACTTTGCTTTTGAATATATACAGTAATCTACTTAGTTTTCTGAAATTTATATTTTTGCTCCGTTGTTGGCATGTCTGGGTTTGTCTAATTAAATATGCAATCTTTTAGAGCCCCAATCAACGAAGTGGACCATTGGCTCTGGCTCTGCTCCAGGTTGCCAGCTCTCCCGGACTGGATGTCACTACAGTAAATGGTGTCCAGTCCAGGAGCATTCGCAACCTCTTTCCCCCACAGCTTCAGTCCCCCCCACACTCCCACCCCTGGGGAGGGTACCAGTGCTGAGTTGTGTAGGGCACCAGCCACCAGTAGAAATCACCTTGGGTAGGACAGTAATTCGTAAAGATTCCAGGTCCTACACTTATTTATGAATGGCTGATAACTCAGCAGGGCGTGATAGTAATGGTCAGCTGTCTTTCTGAAAAAGCATGCTGCAGTTCAACCACAACATGATGCAGGAACTGGTGGCTGGGATTCTCTGCTTTTGTTTTGCAGGAAATTAGACTAGATAATCCCAACGGTACCCCCTGGCCTTAAAAATCTATGGAGTTCTGTTACAGCTGTTCTACCCTTAATTATACTGAAATAAATATATAACAATAGATACAAGAAGTGACATTTAAAAACAATTAAAAGTGGTTTAGAATCTAGTGATTTAAAAGCCAATGTTGTTTCCATTCTAATTCTCCTTTTAGGCATAGCTTACATGCGTATCCTCACATTCTTGCATAGTCTGATTTCCTTTCCATTCTTGCATAGTCTGCAGTTCTTACTTAATGCTGCCCTTAACCTGTATCTTTCCTATGTACTTCCCACAAGAAGGAACCACAGTTGAAATCTACAGGCTCCAGCCCTTAGCTATTGCAAAGTGGGATTACTCTAAAAGAATATATTACAGGAAACATAGTCTCACAGCTTGGTTCCCTCTCCCATCTTCCTGCCTGTATCTGCTTTTTCTGTCAGCATTTTTTGCAGGGTTCTGTCTAATGGGGAGCTTCCAGGAAGAGTACTGATACCAATTCCATGGGCAGACTCTTCAACAGACTAATAATTTCGAAGCTCATTTTTATTCTATTTTTCTTGGTCACAGCTCTTTCGACCACCCCAGAAAATGATCTGCTTGATGTTTACCAGGGGCAGCAAAGCCCCACCTGAAAACATGTATGTGTGGGAGATTGATTTGCCCTCACACTCACACCTTTCTCTTCCCCTCCTTCTCCCCCACACTCATGAGTCCCTGCACACATCCCCTCCAAATCTGTGAACTGAGGTTGTAGTACCAGTCAGGTTTGGCCCAATGCAAAAGTGGTTGGCCCATGACCCAATTGCTACCGGCACTCGGTTCTATGGACTATGACCCTTTAAAGTCCACCCTTTATAATTTAGCCAAGATAGCTATAATTAGTTGATTTATTTCTTTATATCAACCCCTTCAGCCCCCGCCTCCAATAATTTTGTTACTACTTTCTCAGAAAATGTAAGAGACAGCTTACTAAATATTTTTGCCACCCTTGATAGTGTCAAAAAAATGACCAAGGAGTGTAAACAGTTGAGGGTGAAGAGAAAGTAGATGCTGCCAAACTATTGGATTGGGTGATAGACTCTGAAGGAAAGGCAAGCAGTGCAAAAAAATGTACAGTAGGACAATACATAGGAGAAGTGTAGATACCAAACCATTATTGTATGCTCCAATGCAAACTGCAACGTACTGTAAAAAATAGCAGAAGTAGCATTAAAATGTAGCTGTCATTAAGAAGGAAGGTCAGTACAGGATGAAAACCCAGACTAAAGTGTAGACCCTGGAATTTATCTCTGTATAAAAAGGAAAACTTCATATTTCAAATAATATAAGGAGTTGGACCTAAAATAGCATACCAGCTTTTGGCTCAATCCTAATTCCACTGAAGTCAGTAAGAATTTTGCCATTAGCTTCATCAGGAGGACCAAACTACTGATGTTTAAATAAAAAGGCTACAGAACGAATCAGAAAATGTAGCAATCGAGAATTTGACAGAAAACTTCCTTTAGACAAAAAATGTCATCCCACAAGAAATAGAAATACCTCCGGGTACGTCTACATTGCGGCGCTATTTCAGGATACTTCTGGTATCTTGAAATAGCTATTCCGGGTCTTGACAACATGCCTGTTATTTTGAAATATCTTTTGAAATAACGGGTGCGCTATTCCGATGTCCATGTTAATCTTGTTCCACGAGGATTAGGGGACATCTCAGAATAGCAGTTTATTTTGAAATTTGGCGCTGTATAGACTGTGCCAAATTATTAAATAAGCTATTACAACATTAACTTGAAATAAGATTCACAATTTGCGTAGCTCAAATTGCGTAGCTTTTTTCGAATTAAGGGTGCAGTGTACACGCATCCACAGAGAGTAAATTTACTGAAAGAACCATTCAGAACAAAAATCTAGTGAAACCACAGGTAGGCAGGGACTATACTAAAATTTGGGCTCACATTTCCTATTGCTGTGCCAGTACCCCACCATCTATGGTATCAATGGCAGAAGTTCTGGGGTATGTTATCGTGGGATCATCAAATTCAGATCAGCGCTGGTGTAGATGACATGGCAGTTGAAATGCTGGTGCCGATGTTTCCAAACTGAAAAAATAAAACTGCAATCTGACCCTGATAAAAAAGAATTCAAAGAAATAAAAAACAGACCAAACATTCTTTTCCTGGTCAGTGATATCTCCACTGTGAGCATTATTTACTTATTGTGTTTTTCAAACAAAGAGATATACAGATAATTTGCCATGAATACCAATGTACAAACAAGCCAGTGAAATAGAACATTGTGTGAAACCAAAGATGTGAAACAGGGCAGAAAGCACATACTGAAAAACATAAAACAATTTAACAAGCCCTCAGGACAGTCCTTTCTATGGATTATCTAAGTGCATACACACATTCAGAGTTACGAATATATGTTGTGTTAGCTTCCTCCAATAACATGCTATAAAGTCTAAAATAAAGACCCATGTTAGTCTGGTGAAAGTGTTTACTGTAAGACAGCAGAGATGATTGAAGAAATTAAAACCCATGGCTTGCAAAATCATCAGTGCCATTGAATTCTCCATGTTGAACTGATTCTGAAAAGCTAAATTCTTGTGAGAACTCACCTTCCCCAGGCCTGAACACAGGAATTTCTGTGTGGGAGGGCTGCAAGCAGTGGGAGGGGCTGGTGGCTACCCTGCCCCCGTGACTCATCTGCACCCGTGAGGGAGGGAAGAATCAGCTCCAGCCTTCCCCCGGCTGGTCGGAGCATGGGAGGAGGGAGACTGGGGTAACGCACCACCCCAACCTCACGCTTACTTGGAGAACCATGGTCCGGGGGTGCGTTCGCTCCCTTCACACACACCCTGAATATGAGCCTGTATCAGAAACACGGAAAGAAGGCACCCAAACATGGTTACTTTTCCTGGTTTTGTTAGGTTGTACTGTATGCAAAGGGCATTAGGAGAAAGTGTCCCGAATTAACCTTTCCCTGTGAGGCTGGGTGGGGCCCAATGCCAATCCAAACAAAACAATATTTTTTTCAAGCCCAATGTAATGACTTATTCAGTCAATCTGTTTTATGCCAGCAAAGTGACAGGTCAATCTCGACACCTAAAAGTCCATCATGAGAGGAAAAACCAGGGGGTAGAGTGCCCGGAATGGCCTGAACAGCTACTCTGATTTCCTCCGCCCATCATTTGGAAATGAAGGCACAGTCTGGCCATAACTAACAGTGAGAGATGCCAGCGGATTGTTCACACTTTGGGCTGCAGCCAGTCACAACCTGGCTCAGCTATCCGAGTGTCAGCAGAGTGGAGAAAGCCACTTCCCACCTCATTTTCAGCCTTCAAGCATTTCCACATATGAAACCTCTTGCTTCCATTAGCACCTCGGTACCTCCCCACATCATAGATTAAG